CTTTAATCAGTTCAACTACCCTTCGAATAATCTTAACAGTATAGCCCCAAATATCATCCAGTTATCACATCAGTTAAAACCTAGAGCCACGAGGTTAAAAGGTGTCCCTTCTTATTTCCAATCCGTCAAAGGTCTATATTAAGACAATCCCTAAAATAACCATCTTTTCACAACATCTTTATAATCATTGCAGAAGATGGCAACTATATTCTGGTAGAGAGAAAATAGTAAATCTCTTCAATTAGTGTATATGAGTCTATTGGGTGGATTACTTGGGTATCAACTAAAAGTCATTTAAAGCAACAATCATCCCTTTGATTTTTCTCAGTTGCCGATCTTCCTTTATCCGTATTTATTATTATCCTTGACAGTGAGCACACTGCCTATTCCCATTGGGGTAGCTATCTAAGCAACAATAGCTTTCTGCACTTGCTAACGTCCATACTGTATCATAAATAAGGGTGACGCAGAAGATTTATTTCAGCAATACTTCCTGGAGTGAATCAGTACAATGAACTCTGAGTATCCTGGCCTATATAAATAAGCCTTTTAGTAAATGTCACATTGGAATAATTCCTGATCCTCACACCGAATTGTGTCCATGCTGGAGTACAGGAGTTATGTATGGATCCCCAGTGCCCGAAAACTTGACTCCTAGTGACAATCAATAACATTTTTGCTGTTGCTGTACAAGAACACTATGAAGTTTTTTTTTCCAACCAAATTGCTTGTAGCTTAAAAAATGATTGTTGAGAAGCATTAAGTTAAATGCTGTGGTGTAAAAACGCAGACCCGTGTTTTCTTAATATTGGTGATATTTCTTGTAATATTGCAACAGTATATTCTGTGAAGCGCTTTGAGACGTTTCAACGACGTGATAAGGGGCTATATCAATTGCAAGGATTATTACTATTATTATAAAATGCAGCCAACACAGTTAGTCGATAACTAGTCCTCCTCATCAGAATAGAAAAGGTAAATTGTATCTGATATCATTATTAATATAATTTGCAGCAAGTTGGGTTATGTTGAAATTACAGACATTTGGTTAGAACTTATACAGTGTAATATCCGCTGTAAGCATGGTAAAATGCATAATTGGGACAAAAATGTAATAAAGTAAACTGTCAAACTGATTCAGTTCATCAGTGGGTGTTGATGGAACGGTTTCAGTTTCTATTTAATTATAGTAATTATTCTCGTATCGGGTGTTCACCTAAGCGGAGTCAAGTGTACTTGCAGTTTATTAAGCAGTGCTTGTTTTATACTCCCACTAACATATCAGCAGAGATACTATAAAATGTTTTCCATTTGTCACATGTGCAAATGTTTTGTCCTATACTGTATCTGGTCTCTCAATACATTGACGTGTCAGTCTGGCTCAGTTGGTAGCGCTCTCACCTCTGTCAGAAGGTGGTGGGTTCAAACTCTGGAACTCTCTAACACTAACACCAGGGCTTTGACCACACTGTCGAGGCTATGGCAAAGTTCGTATCACATTGTCAGAGATACAGTCCTTTGATTGACACATTAAAATGAAGTTCTGTCTGCCTCTTCAGGTGGATGTGAAAGATTCCTGTGGCCACATTCCAAAAAGAGAAGGGAGTTTCTCCTGGTGTCCGAACCAACAAGTCATATAAGAACATATTAGATGGTCTGACAACTGAACTGAAGTCACCTTGGAAATCGAGGAGGAATACCTTGATTTCTCAGCCTTTGCCATTCGTCAGAAAACCACTGGTCAAAGGTGGGAAGCTGATTGTCCGACCGCCATGAACTGTGCGGTGGGGAAGGTCGACAATATTGACCCATGACAACTACAGAGACCATTCACCTGAACACGTAAAGGAATTCTGAAAACACCCAGATAAGGCAGAGGTGGCCAGTGCTACAAGTGTCAAACCCACCACGTGGTTCAGAATCCTGGTGACAGGCCACTTTTCCTCCTGTCTTATTTCATATGTAAATCGATCCCGACCTTTCCTTAGCTTCTCCGACTGAATTTCCACATTGCTGTCGTTTTTCACACTTTCTCCAATTTTCTGAATTCCTCAGTGCCAGATGATGTTGGTGCTGCTCAGCCGGGCTGTGCGACTTTATTTCTGAGTCTGTGCTTGTGATGGGAGCAGTCAGCCATAGGCTTGAACCTTTATTTTTCTCATTTTCAGCAATTCCGTGACAAGAAAAAATAACAGGAGCGATGGAGTGATTCTGAGACGAGGCACACCCGAAAGCAATGGGTCACTGAGCTGGTGAACAAATCAATCTCATTAAAATAGATACAGCAATACGACACTGAATCACAATAGGAGAATTACACACAAGAGGGCAGGAACAGTCAAACAGTGAATATTATTACTCGGCAACATGTGCAGTGTTCAGCTTTTCCGTGACTGTTTGTGGAGACGTTGCTGTGCGCAATTGGCTGCTGCGTTTCGCCCACAAAATATACACTCAATTCACTTCACAGTATATTCTGTGAAGCGCTTTGAGATGCCTCGAAGACGTCATAAGGCGCTATATTAAATGCAAGGATTATTATTACTACCATTACCCCATAATAAATCCCATTGTTATTGGATTCTATTATTGCCCATTATTTTAGGACAGACACCAGGAAGTAGTTCTTTACCCAGAGAGTAATTAACAACTGGAACAGGGTGGCCAGGGATAGTGATTGAGGCCAGGACACTGGACTTATTTAAAATAGGTCTTGATGCTGTGATGGGAAGATAGTAAGGTGGGAATTGTGGAAAGATGAGATCAAATGGCCGAAATCTTGTGATCTTGTGACCAGCTGAGCTTTGACACTTCCCAGAGTTGAATAATCTGCCAATGTTTATATATCTTTTTGCAGAGTATGGTTTGAAAAGCAAAGCAAAAGCCTTGAGTTGAGATGACATTGGGAATGGTTCAAGCTATTCTCTGACTGGTTGATGTGATTTCTCTCTGTGTGTTATCCTATTTTAAATCGTCTGCAAATTATTGCTCTATAAACTCAGAGTGATTAATCCCTCTGTCATGAGCTTTTCACGCACCGATTGCACTGATAACCACTGACAAAAACAAAAAAAAAGCATTGAAAATAATGTTTCGGTTATATAGCTGGAAGCAATCTTAATTTACCGTCCAGTACTAAGAGTGGGAAACAGCACCTTGATTTCTCATTCCTAGCATTCATTCCCCAAACCCTGAGGAGAGCTCAGGGCATATATCACACAGAGCTTCACTAACCACCGTAAATAGCGGGTCATCTTCTTTCGACCTATTACCAAACCAGGAGTGAGATCAGCTCTTTAATAATATTAATCAATTCCTGGAAGGGTGGGCAAGTTTCCTTACTCCACACACTTCTGTTTACCTAACAATAAGTAGGAACCAGCTTGTCAGTCGATTATCGGATCGTTTCTCCAGGGCTAATTATCCTGTCAAAAAATAATAATGATAATAAATTGGTCACTTAATTCACGACTATTTGTGGGAAGCTGCTGTGCGTAATTGGCTGACGCGATTCGCCCACAAAATATACAGTCACTACAACAACAACAGCAGCAAGATTACATTTGTATAGCGCCTTTCACGTCGGGAGGACGTCCCAAGGCGCTGGACAGTGATAGCATTTCAGACCCGAGCTGGGGTCAGGGGGGGAGAAGGGAGGGGAGGGAAAGGGGGGTGACCGATGGCATGGTCGAAGAGGAGGGTCTTGAGGCGGAACTTTGAAGGAGGTTAAGGAGGGGGTGAGGCAGAGTGACTGGGGGATGGAATTCCAGAGATTGGGGGCAGAGTGGCTGAGGGCTCTCCCGCTAATGGTGGGGCGGGTGGGTTGGAGGTTAGGAGGTCGCAGAGGTAGGGTGGGGAGAGACCATGGAGGGCTTTGTAGGTGAGGACCAGGATCTTGAACTGGATCTTCTGAAGGATAGGGAGCCAATGGAGTCGGGTGAGAGTGGGGTAAATGGGGTCACGGAGTTTGGTGCGGGAGAGGTCACGGGCTGCAGAGGTCTGGATTATCTGCAGCTGTGGAGGGAGGAGTTGGGAAGGCCGACAAGCAGGGAGTTTGCATAGTCGAGCCTGGAGGTGATGGAGGTCATGAACAAGAGTTTCAGTGGCCTGAGGGGTGAGGGAGTGGCGGAGTCGGGCGATGTTACGGAAGTGAAGGAAGGCAGAGAGGGGTCAAGACTGACTGGCTTGGTGTTGAAGTGAGCAACCATGGAGGTTGATGCTGCCTGAGCCTGAGGTGCGGAGGCGCTGGCGCGAGCCGATCAAGAGGGCCTCAGTCATGTTCACATTCAGGAAATTTGCCCTCATCCTGGACTTGATGTCCGACAGTACACTCTGTGAAGAGCTTTGAGATGTCTCGAAGGCGTGATAAGGCGCTATATCAAATGCAAGGGTTATTATTATTATCCAATCGGTTCTGTGGGCGAGCACCTCGCTTTTTCCCATGATGACAACTGAAATGGGGAACTCAGTTTGTGAAGGACCTTTGTGTGTGAGACCATTTCTCACCACTGTGTGGCAACAGACATTTTAATAATGTTACATGGGAACATTTCTGTCTGGAGTCTCAACTCATGATTCTCCATACGTTTGACCCGCTGAGCTCGGCTGCACAGTAATACAGTGTAGATCCTATTTTCCCACACGAAGGCAACCTTGTTTGTTTAATCTGTGCCAAATATATCTTTTAGTGAAAGTGTATAATACAGTAAAACCTGACACAAGTCGTATCAGTCAGGTCCAGACATGGAATATGACTTATGCAAAGTATGGGTTACGTGAAACTTGCATAGAATATAAACGCTTGACCAGGACTTGGGCGCGTGTACGACTTCTCCAGATCAGATTTAAGCGAGTTTTACTGTAGTTACACAAATCATAACGGAGACTTCTTGGAAGAAGGAAGCGAAACAGAGTACTTTTGTGCTATCAGTGTATGTCATTGCCATATTATTATGTCATTGTCAAATAATAGTTTTTATTACTCTTTATAAAGATGGAAAACTTTTGCGCAGTGGCTGTATCGTAGCCAATGAGGTCTCACCGAGGCCGATTATTGCTTATCATTAATATTATTATTAATATTATTATTAAAAGTTTCTACTTATTGCTGTATATGTATAAATGCATTTCAGGTTAATCCAGAAAATATCTAAATAATCCTTGTATTTGATGTAGCAGCTTATTGCATCAGAACAAAGTGTTTCACCGAGTTTTCAGTAATATATAACTAACTTGGAGCCTCCAATTCCCACAAAAGAATGGGATGAAAACAGCCGACAAGTGAACAACCTTTTTTTTTGGGTGGTAGGTGGGGTGGGGTGGGGGAGGGGGAGGATTTTTGGCTGGAATACCAGGAGAAATGTCTCATCCAAAGGACAGCACTTGCAACACCAGAATAGGCCAGACAACAACAACAACAACAACTTGCATTTAGCCAGCGCCCCCTCATGCAGGATAGCGTCCCAGAGCGCGACCCCGAGCCGGGGGGAGGGAGGGGGAGGTAACCGTAGGCTCTGGTCGAAGAAGAAGGTCTCCAGGCCCGAGGTGGAGGGATAGAGGAAGAGTGTTCCAGAGTTTCGGGGCATAGTGGCTGGAAGTGCAGAAGCCTATAGATAACTCTAGACTTATTATATATATTGATATAGACACACATATAGATATAGATAGGCTTATTATGTCAGTCATAGGCAAACTCCTGGAGACTATACTCAGGTTTAAAGACACAGAATTTCCGAGTTGAAAGTTAAAGTTGTAATTGCAAGTTACATTTTGGCAAAAACAAGTCCCAGGTGGTCTGCGAGCCCGAGGGTCAGAGTGGGCTTTTATTGGCTTGTTTCCGAAGTGATATTTAATCAGATATTTTTCAAAACAAAACGTAAGGCAGCAAAGCGAGGTTGTAATGCAGCGCTACATATTCAGTTCAAATACAAAACAAAGGGATCAAAAGTATCATATATATCCTTGTATATATATATATATCCTTGCATTTGATATAGCGCTTTTCACGTCGGGAGGACGTCCCAAAGCGCTTCACAGAACACACTGTAAAGTGAATTGACTGTATATTTGTGGGCGAACGCGGCAGCCAATTGCGCACAGCAATGTCCCACAAACAGTCGTGGATTCAAAATGACCAATTTATTATTGTTTTTTGGTTTTTTGGAGGGATTATTATTATCATCAAAGCTTTGCTAGGGACGTAAACAGAAATAACTTACTTGCTTGGCATGTTATGATAACGTCACTTGTAAGTTTTTGTAATAATTTTCTCGTTGAAAAATTACACCATAAAACCCAAGACTTTACCTTACAATCCCCGGGCAGGTCAGTGATCAAACAGTAAATTTACAACAACAACAAATTCAATTTGTACAGTGCCTTTCCCCTCGCGAGGACGTGCCAAGGCGCTGGAAGTTAGAATATAAAGTACTGATTTTAATGTTCCTAATTCCTTGGAAAATAGGAATGGTATCAAAAGATTTACAGGTAAATAGCTTGTTATACTCTTGTTAACAAGAGAGCAAAAGGAAAAGGTCAGATACCAATAGACAAGATAAGCGTATGTCAGTCATCGGAAACTGCTGGAGACCATAATCAGGGATAGCATTAGTGAATACTTAGAAACGTGTGGGCTAATTGGGGACGGTCAATGTGGATTTGTAAAGGTTAGATCAAACCTGATCAATCTAGTCAATTTCTTTTACAAAGGATATCACCCAGCTGTTCAGGCATAAAGGGAATGCAGTTTGATACAGTGCCACATAAGGGATTTATTCTGATATAAAGTCCCTTGGTTTTAAAAGCATTTAAAGAGGGGACATGTTCAGAGGTTGGCTGAGGTACAGGAAGCAGAGAGTGGGAGTAAGTAGGATAATTCTTGAAATGATCAGACTCAGTAGTATGCCTTAGGTGTTTATTCCATGTGGATGCAGCACAGTTCAGTTAGTATGATGCCAGAGATGAGAAGGTATAGTTATGGAGAATAGGCTTAAGAATATACTGGGTTTGTATTCGCTGGAGCAGAGGATATTGGCAGGGGAACTAATCAAAGTGTTCCAAATTTTTAATTTGGAACGTTTGCCTACGTAAATGCAGAAAGATTATTCCTATCAGCAATGAATCAACAACAGTGGTATAAACACCAAGATTATTACTTGGGAAAAAAAACCCCTGAAGATTGTCACTGGGAGCATAAAGGCGGAGGATAGATGTCTTTTTTCTTCACATAAATGGGGGTTAGGGTGTAGAACGCATTGCCACAAAGTGGCTCTCGAAACCAAGTGAATTGCGTTGGTTGAGAAGGGAATGAAATGAAAAATGGAATCTTGGTGGCTGTTGAAATAGAGCAGAGAAATGGGATTACACTGTGACTCTAAAACAGACATGAAACAGGCTGAATGACCTCCTTTTTGCACCTCGCTCTAATTCCTAGCATACGGCATTGCAAAAAAAAACTCTTTGCCAACTTTCTAGGGATAACAGGCTCCCCGGGGAGATGTGGGAAGCAGAAAGTGTTCGATTCTTTCAAGAAGAAATTAGATAGATTTCCAAAGGCAAAATACTGCGGAGGCTGGAAATCTGAAATAAAAACAGAAGTCGCTGGGAAAACTCGGCAGGTCAGGCAGCATCTATGGAGAGAGGAAGGTGAGAGTTCTGCTGAAAGGTCATCGACCTGAAATGTTAACTCACTTCCCTCTCTCCATAGATGCTGCCTGACCTGCTGAGTGTCCCCAGCCACTTATTTGTATTTTAGATAAATTTCTGTTGGGGATAACTTGGGAGACAGTCTATATAGTTCAGGACACGACATGTCAAGCGACTGCCAGGATGGTGGAAGGCGAACTGGTGGGACCTTGGTCTTCCTTCGCCAGCAAATTCTTATGTTCTTATGTTCATATAACATTTTGTTTGTATCAAAAGAAATGCTGTAACCCTCACCCTCCCAGACATTCAGGACAAATCGGAACAGTTCTAATAATAATAGTAATAACCCTTGCATTTGATACAGCGCCTCATCACGTCTTTGAGATGTCTCAAAGTGCTCCACAGGATACACCGTAAAGTGGAGTGACTGTGTGTTTTGCAGGCGATTGCGCACCAGGGACGTCCAAGAAACAGTGATGGATTGAGCGACCCGGATTTTTTAAATTTTTTAAAAATTCTGTCTGAGTTAGGAATGGGTTAAAGTGAGGAATGGGTTAAAGAAAGGAATTGCCTTCTCTCTCCCTATTTCTCTGTGTCTCTCTCTCTATTTTTCTCTCTCTATAAACGTCTCTCTCTATTCCCCTCTCTCTCTCTCTCTATTCCTCTCTCTCTCTCTCTCTCTCTCTCTTCCTCTCCCTCTCTCTCTATTCCTCTCCCTCTCTCTCTGTTCCTCTCTCCCTCTCTCTCTGTTCCTCTCTCCCTCTCTCTCTATTCCTCTCTCTCTCTCTCTATTTCTCTCTCTCTCTCTCTATTCCTCTCTCTCTATTCCTCTCCCTCTCTCTCTGTTCCTCTCCCTCTCTCTCTATTCCTCTCCCTCTCTCTCTCTTCCTCTCCCTCTCTCTCTATTCCTCTCTCTCTCTCTCTATTCCTCTCTCTCTCTCTCTCTATTCCTCTCTCTCTCTCTATTCCTCCCTCTCTCTCTATTCCTCTCTCTCTCTGCCCCCTCTGGTGGCAGAGTGGGACTTGATCATTGCTGGATGCCGTGGATGGATTTGGTGGTTGTATGTTCCTGTTGGTCACTGGGGTTCTGGTATATATCAGCCTGAACAGCAAATGGGAAGAGTATAGCCCAGAGCCCAGAGCCCAGCCTGACCCCCACTGTAGGGGAAGCTGAGCTATACCCCCCCTCTCTCTCTGGGGGACTGTAAACTCACAGCACCAACAAGAAGCAGAAAAAAAGGGGAATCCAGAAAAATGTGATGGATTTTTCTTAACCATTTTCTGGGGAGAGAGGAGAGGAGAGGGAGAGAGGGAGAGAGGGGGAGGGGAGGGGGGGAAGAATGCGTTTTAATTTGCTTTGGTTTTTCCCCCCTTCTCTGTTTTCCCAGTTGCCCTGTGTGGGAGAGCCCTGGGCTCCATGGCTGGCTACAAAAGGGGGTGTTTCCCCCCTCCCCTCTTCTCTTCCCCCTTTCTCTCTCTCTCTCCCTCTCTCTCTCTATCTCTCCATCTCTTGATACTGCCATTTGTGTCGAGTTTTTGATGTATGAAGGAGGTGAAGAAAAACGTAGATTGAGGGCTTGGGCTGTGATTGTGTGTGTGTGTGTGTGTTGGGAGATGTATCGGTGCTACATTTTACAGTGGGAAAACAGGTAAGTCGATTTTTATTTACATTCTTTTATTATTGTTGATAAATAATGCTGTGAACGTATCACATTTAAATCCAAACCAGGCATGTTGCCACCCCCTGTAATATAATACTACTACTACTAATAATAATCCTTGCATTTGATATAGCGCCTTATCGGGTTATTGCCTCGGCTGATCAGACAGCACATCGGATCGGATATTGTTCCCTCCTTAATATTGAGACCGAGCTGATCAGGGAACGGAGCCCAATGTGCCGGTCAGTTTCAGGTGTGGGTTTCACATCTCCCGGTCAGATTCACTGCCGACAGACAGACAGAGAGATATGACAGACAGACAGACAGACAGACAGACAGACAGACAGACAGACAGACAGACACCAAAGCATTTGTTGATGCTTTCCTTACAGAAATGTCTGTGTCCAATTCATTCACTGTTGTGTGTGTGTTTTTTCCGTTATTCTTATAGTATTGATTTGACAAGGTTCGCTTCACCACCAAACCCAGTCTGTGTACCGCTGTGTGTATGGGGAGGGGCAGTTGGTGAAGGTGGTGTTGGCGAAAGTATTTCTGATTGATATTTATACCAATTATAGTGAACCCTCCGCCACATGTCTGAAGTCCACTATCATACCTTATATACGCTACACATATAATCTTCTTTGTTTCTGGCTCATTTTTCAACATGTTTCACTGCATGAAACTTGCCGTTTCACAGCTACAGCAGTAAATTTTCTTAAAAAAGAAAAACAAATCTTGAAACAGTCTCGAACGTTTACGATCTATGTTGTTTTGCGGCAAAGTAAATAAACAGGTTGAGCACTATGTTGCGAATTTTGCTTATTATTAGTTTATTTTTCTCTCTCCTCTTAACACGCTTGTTCTGAATAATAATAATAATAATATTGATTTATGCGAGCATTGCATATTACATAAATATATATATTGCCTAAAGGGTGACCAAAACGTCTTATTTTTCAGCTACTCTATTATCAAATAAAAAAATTATAATTCCTTTAAGGCTTATTAGACATTGTAATGGTATCAGAACTTTCTGGTCACCGTGTGGGTGTGTGTATGTATATATATATTATACAGGTATAATATCTCGTTGTGTTGACATCTAATATCCATCCAGTGTCTGCTGTGGTTCCAGTGATTCACAGCCCTTTTGGTGTTGTTTCCTTGTGTCTTAATGGTTGTTGTTACATACAGTGAAGATTTGGGTGAAAGATGTTGATTTGTGACATAGCAATTCGTTGGTTCAGAAACCTTCCAACTTTACGCAATTAGTTGAAGATAGTGGTGAGGTTAGTGTGAAAGGAGAGTCGAAGACAAACGCCTCAACAACCCCCCGCCCGCCCGTCCGCCCGTCCCAACTCCCCCAAAAAATCATGTGTCCACAATGAATCTTCGTCCTCCTCAATACTGTGTTGGGAGCCCGTTATAGGCTTGAGCTACAGACATGAGCTTGGAAATACGCTTTCTCGACACTGTCTCTCTCACATGCAGCAGGAGATTCAATTCAAGTTGGGGTAGGGTTGTGTCTTTTCTCTTTTATCCTCCCCCACTTCTCTGTCTCTCTCTCTCTCTCTCTGTCCCTTTCCCACCGGCCTCACACGCTTCCCTCCAGTGGCTCCATTGGGAACTGTTCTGTTTTCTGTTGTGGTTTCTAGTTTAATTTGTCACTTTTAATGAGATCGAAAGGGATTGTTGCCAACTGGTTGCAGACGCTCTTGTAACTGGGCTGATTTCTGTTTTGTCCCTCGTGTTGTCCGCTCCACCATCGGTGGTAGCACTTTCAGCCACTACGCCCCGGATCTCTGGAACGCTCTTCCTCCAGCTCGTCCCTTCCTTCCCCATTTTCAGGTCGCGCTTAAAGACCTCCCCCCCTCTCCCCCGGAGCTGGCGCTGCTCTCCGCCACTGCCAAGTGCTCTGTGACACGGCCCTGTGTGAGGGGCGCTGTATTAATCCAAGTTGTTGTTGTTGTTTTCAGTTTATTGAGTTTTGTTTTTAAACATCAGCTTCAAATATCTTGTCAGCCCTCATTGCTGATCACTTCAAGGCCTGAAATTCCGCCTAATCTTTGTCTGTAAACCATTCGGTCCTGAAATCTGATTGGCCAGTTTTATGACGGATCCTAGTTTGATGGTGGGTGTAGATGATGGAAGCGGGATACAGCCAGAGGATCCAGGTTACATCCTAACAGAAGGTCCACAACCTAGTCATAAAAATTGGACTAACTCACCGGAGTGATAGTTAACCATTTATCCCCTGAAAACCTTTCAGAATTTCGAAGATCCCTACTAATTTTAATTTTAATAATAATAATCCTTGCATTTGGTATAGCGTCTTATCACGTCGTAAGGACGTCTCAAAGTGCTTCACAGGAATTACTATGAAGTGGAGTGACTGTGTATTTGTAGGCAAATGTTGCAGCACAATTGTGCACAGCAATATTCCACAAACAGCCATGAGACGAGTGATTGTCAGCCAGGACACCGGGGGAGAAACTCTTCTTTATTTGAATAAGCACTGCGGGATCTTTAATGTCCACCTGCCTTGGTTTAATGCCTTATTTGAAGGACGGCACCTCTGACACTGCAACACCCCCCAACGCTGCATTGGAGCATCAGCTTAGACAATACGAGTTCAAGTTATCTTCTCTGTTCCAGAGTGAAAACAACCCCGATTTTATATTTTATTCCATACTTTTGAGTATGAGCAGAGTCGATCTCCTCTGTAGTTCCCAGTTGGATTGTCAACCATCCCTGGAATGGCTGAAGGTGTAACTTGATCCAACTTTGGTGAGCAATATTGAATAGGACCTGCCCAACAAAATTAACTGTATGACGCATGGCAATGTGCGGACTGGAATGGATAACTCATTGCATCTGACTGTTCTGGTGGCATTGAGTGTCGTGTTTTGCCCACTAAATATACAGTTAATCCCCTCTATAATATATTCTGTGAGTTGCTTTGAGACGTCTCACCAAAGTGGTAATAATCATAAGGATTATTATTATTAGTTTTTTTTATGGTTCTCTTTCCCTGCGCTGCCAGTTGAGCAAATCTGGTGTCGATTGAACGACAGAATGAACTGCTAACCTCCTGTTCCAGGCTCCCACTGGTACAGAAATACACCTCTCTCTCAAACAGGGCTGTGTGCCATTATACTGTGATATGTGTACGGGTGTAAATAAATTCTGGGCCTCAATCCATGATCTGCATCCCACAAGGAACAACTGTTATCTGGCAACAGAGACGCTGACATTAGGTGTATTCACAATAGGTGTACAGAAACAACAACAACAAAATTACATGTGTATAGTGCCTTTCACGTCGGGAGGATGTCCCAAGGGCCTGGACAGACAGAGCTTCGGACCCGGGCTGGGGGTTGGGGTGGGGGAGGGCAGTGGAGGAAGCAGGGAGATGGAAAGCACGGTCGAAGAGGAGGATCTTGAGGTGGCGAGGGTTACCATGGCCACACTATTGCCTATTGCTGGTTTTTGTCCCTCACCATGTTTTCACCAATAATGGAGCTGCCTTAGCTTGTCTGACAGGTGGCTATTCCCTGACAGAAACGACAGATGGGTGGGTACCGATCAACAAGCTTCTGCCACTCTTGTTCCAACCAATAGAGGAAGTACGTGAGTGGGGGGTTAGGTTAGGTTAGGTTGTCACCCAGCGCCCCCTACCACCACCCATCGTTCCTTCCCTAGACTTGAGTGCTGGGCCTCAGACTGCACATTTCTTATGCGAAGAATTGGCTGCTGAGCTGTTTGAACAATTCAAAGCAAATTCTATACTATATTTGTAACTCTATTTCCTTCTCTCTCCCACACCGCCCCCTGTCCCCCCCACCCCCACCCACATAGCTTTTCCAGAAGTTCCGCAAGTGAATTAATTAGCTGCTGGTGTTTAATTTTAACAGTTAACAGAGGACCCGGGTTTCGATTTCCAGACAGGGCCAAACGTTGGGCAAGTTTCCTGACTCCACATGCCTCTGTGTACCCAGACAGTGAGATGCTTCATGTCTACTCTGATGTTGAAGCAGAATTTTAGCGTAGAGTTAGGTATTAAAATAGTTTAACCTAAATGTCAGGCAATGTGCTGTACTTTTTCTTCCCCCCCCCTAAAGATCTGTTTAATTCTATTCATTACTGAAATAACCCAAATTACAAACCTTCTCCCAGCCGTCCTGAATTCATTTGATTTCAGAGGAGCAGACAAGGGAATATCCTTTTGTCTGTATACCAAGCACACGGTATCAAAACACATGTCACGCTCAAACAGGTAATTGTATGACATACGTGTGACACCAGCAAAGCATGACAAAAAACAGGCAAGGTTTTGCTATTCGCAAACAAATAGTTTGCACCAAGACACCTTTTCATGGAGACGGGGGAAGCTTCACTGATTCACATCTTCAACCCCTTTCTCCTATCAGCTGCTGCTGTTTGGGCACAAGCAATAAAGCAATTTAAAAACATTGCAAATTATATCAGAAATCCTGGTCACTTCATGAAATTTACACAGCGCTGATGGTAAATATCCTCTTAACGCAGAAGCTGAGAGAAATATTGTAAGATTGAATAGGAGAAAACTGTATAGGGAGCAATACATATGTCAGTCACCAACTCCATACATAGTGTGGAACACTGCAGTGAGAGTGACGTACATTGTGGGGTGAAGCATGAAAATTAATCGGATCTGGACACGCCTGATCAGAGGTTGCCGTTAGTTCTAAACACATTTTGTTATCATGCATTCAACATACCAATGAGAAGCTGTATGCAATGTGTTTCTCATTTTACTATTGGGTCACACAAGGTGAGAACGGCTAAACTGGGTTTCAACTGAATTCAAGACTCCCCTCTTTGAGACCTTTTTTTATACAATAAAATGTGTGAGGTGTCGCTCAGTGTGTCATTTCTGTGCCATGTGTCGTTAATGGCACAGAAACGTTAGCTGCTGTCATTATACTTAGTTCTTTCAAAACGGG